CTTTTTATTAATATTAGAACTTTGTTGGTCTCTTCAGAAATAGTTTTAACATTAGCATTTCAACTGTTATACCTTTTTTTTTTTCGGAAATAGAGACAACTAAATTTGTGTAATCCATTTATCAATTCACAGAATTCTTCTTTTATCATATTGTCAGCTATATACACTAATTTAACTACGTCTGGATTTTTTTTTTTTTTAAAATCTTCAATACAAGTAAAAAGATGAGAATACAAAATTAAGATAACATAACATAGATTGGGCATAAGAAAAGAAAGGGGGAAAAACATTCAAAAATTTTATTATTATAAATAAATAAATATTATTTATTACTTTCATCGATATATTTATTTATTGTTGCTGTTGTTGTTGTATTTTTCTTGGTTGGACTTTTTTTTTCATAAAATTATTGAAGATATGAATTAATCGATCACTAGTTTCAACTTGTGTAATTGAACTTTGATTGAGTTATAAATTTTACGACTCTACCCTCGACCATCTCTCAAATTTATGAAAATTACTTTTAATTGGTAACCACAGCATAGATTTTTCATATAATTGCTACGCGGCGTAGCAATTACCATTTTGTCACATAGCTATATTACAATATGGTTGGAGGATTTCTAAAATATCATTGCACTAGCCATAGTAAAACAATTTTACTAGTGAATTTTGAATCATTGATAATAGGTATTCCATTTACAATTGGACTAGTATAAACTACAATGTAGTCCAATTTATGAATATTCTTCAAATAGTGCAATAATTATTATTGCATATCCAATAGAAATGCAATAATAGTTTTTCATACAATTTTAACCATCCTTATACTTCTAAAAGTATAAGATTTTCTACATTTTCACCTTCATAGAAATTTTTTCTATGACTTATATAAAGTATAAAGGATGTAACTTGTAAAATAATTTATCCCCACAATTCTTCAATTAGGAATGTATTCTATAGTAGTATTGCAACCCTCACAAATCTTGATTCAGGCTCGAACTTAAAGTCTATCAAATCTTTTAAAAATCTGATTCATCTATCAAATAGACAATATCCATTTCATTCTTTGAAATATTGTTTAAGAAGGCTATACAAGATTTAAAGCAAGAAGTTATTCAAACATGAATCTTGAATTCCGTAAACATTATTATTGTTTCTTTAGTGGTGGCATAACCATCATAATTACTTCTCGTGTACCAAAGAAGTCTGCGATGCTTTACAAGGAGTTTTTAATCTTAGCATTCCACAATCGAACACTACATGCATTGAAGAGGACAAAGTGGAAATTTAAATTTTGAGGATAACCCCACAATAGATACCCCAACCAATTGATACACTTTCAATTTATATACAGGTATCTAATCATAACAAGTTTTGTCAAATAGATTACATAATCAAAGCATCTGTCAAAAAAATGTTCGCGGCCTATTTAATTTCACGGTTTCCACTCTCTAGTATATATTCAAGGGAAAATTGCCGTAACGGTCTCTAACTTTTTCAAAACCATCCAGTTGACCAAAAAAATTGATTTTGACCAAATTTGGTAAGGACATTTATGTCAATCATATATTAAATTTAAAAATCAAATTAAGATAAAAACAATTAAAAAGGAGAGAGGGAAAAGAAAAGAAATAAAAATAAAAAATCATCTTCTTCCACATCTTACCCACCCCCACTCTCCACCCACAACAACCACCCCAAACCAATACCTAGAAAACAATTACCCAACCATCTACCTGCTATCGCAGATCAGTACCTGCCACTACTGCCCATTGCTGGCCACAATCGCAAACCAAAACCAATTTGAAAATCACAATTTTAAAAACCTACCAACCTCATCTCTTATCTTAGTCGGGATTGTAACAGTTTGAACACTTTCAAGATCCAGCAATCCGTTCTGACTTCTTAATAGAGTTAATGGACCCGAGCATATGGGGCTTTTTGATACCGGAGTGGAGGCTCTCATAGGAGTGGCCGTTCTCGAGGGCTCTTGACTTGTTATCAAAGTCATTTCCGTCGCACTT